TTTAAGAGGCCCCCCCCCCCCCCCACACACACCCCATTTTAAAGTAAAGGCCCCACAAAATGAATTCTAACTGAAATGCTTGTGATGAAGCCTGTCATTTAATAACCTCTGTTTATGTGTGTCAAACATTAAGATTATGTCTCCTCTCCCCCTCTCTCCCCCACCCAGTCCCACCCTTTCAAAATAAAAGCCTCATGGATTAACTGTATTTAAACGTTAAGCTCAAAATTAGGCTTTTTTGTTGAAATAATGAATGCTCTTACTAATACTGTGACAACTACTGCTACTAATATTTCTAGTATCACTACTACTACTACTGCTACTACTACTGCAACTTTTGCTGTTGCTACTATTACTACTACTACTACTACTGCTATTACTGATACCATCACTATTATTACTACCACTACTGCTATTACTACCACTACTATTATTACTTATACCACAACTGCTACTACTGCTATTCCTGCTACTACTACAGCTATTATTACGACTGCTACTAGTACTACTACTACTTCAAAAACTGACTTTACTATTACTACTACTTCTTCTACTACTACTACTGTTATATTAAATACTACGACCACTACTACAGCTATTACTACGACTACTGATGCTACTTCTACTACTTCGAATTACTAATACTTCTACTACTACTAATACTTGGACTACAACTTCTACTACTACTGCTACTACAAATATCACTACTGCTACAACTAGTACTTATTCAAATGCTACTGATACTTCTATTGCTAATAATACTTCTACTACAACTTCTACTACTACTACAACAAATATCACTACCGCTGAAATTTTTTTTAAGCTACAGAAACCGTTCGAATATCAAAATGTTCAGCTCTTTCAGGAGAGGTGTGATATGACTTCATATTTGTAATCTTTCAACTTTTTGAATTATTAAGCTTTTTGCAATTTTTTTTAAATTGGATATCTATTTTCAGCAATGTTTTTGCGATTCATTTCAGCTTTCAGCATTCCAACGCATTTTCAGCAGGAAATGCATTTTCTAGTTTTATCTCTGCGCTTCAGTTTAGGATGATAACTGAACTCGAGTGCCACTTGGATACATGCTTATATATATATGACAGCAGTAACTCGGTCACGATGACTTGTCTTTGGTCCTCTCAGTACGATGCAAAGACCCGACTGGAGACCATGTCTGGAAGCACCTCCATCAGCTCAGCTGACCTGTTTGGGGACGGAAGTGACCAAAAAGGTAACTCCTGTTTGTTTGAGTGTTTGTGTAGAAAAGAGCTGCAGATTCATATTTTCAAAAGGGTTCAGAATTCCCTGAAACAGCTGGAACAGCTGGAAATAGTGCATTTGTTGGGGACTATTTTTAGCGGCGGATGAATCCACATTCGGTGCTCTAGTGAGTCAAAATAAACTAGTGTGTGAAGGAAAATCTATCTGCACCCTTATCATCTAACTTCCTCCCCAAATGAGTGATTGAACGTCCCCTCCTCTCAGGCAGGGGCCCGGGCTTCGACAGCGTGCTCCCCGCCGGCCCCGACATCGCACAGTTCAAACAGGGAGTGAAGACTGTAGCGGGAAAGATGGCCGTCCTGGCCAACGGGGTCATGAATACAATCCAGGTGAGACGTCAGCCGGTCAACGTCACCTGAAAGAGACAGTAGCGGTGTTCAGAAGTGTGTGTGTGTGAGAGGTTCTTCTGCAGAGTCTCTACTGTCTCTTTAAACCGAGTTGTTAAATTGTAGTAACCGGGGAAGTGATTCAACAATATTTGCTCATTTCTCTGGATTTGTGAAATGTTTTCTCAGGATCGATACGGCTCGTACTGATCACCTCTGACCTTTGGGAGGAAACGCTGACTGACGCCTGTGAAGAGCCGCCCGGCCTCCTGACAGACCGCGAGAGAGAGATGGGCAGCAGGAAGGGTTGCATGGGGAAAATAAAAGCGTCCTCCTCTAGAGACAATGCTGCAGGAGTGAGAGCGTCACAGGGTGAAGTCGCTGTTCTTCTCCTGAAACCCACTTCTGTTGGTCTTAGTTTTCAAAAAGGACGCCAGAGTTAATTCTACATTTTATTCCTTATACATAAATCAAAGTGTTGTTTTTGATTCATATTATCAAATGTCTTATGTTTTTTTGTGATATTAAAAGAAAAGTGCAGTGTGTATATATATATTTTCAACGTTAATTTGAACACGAATACAGAATTTCTGCATTTGGTGTTTGATTCACTGAAGTTCAGATTTACTTTTATTTTCATTGACACAAAACACTGAAATATGCGTTTCTGTCTGAAAGTATATGTTGTAAAAACATCGGAGCATCACGAGCTGCTCTGGTTATTTATTTATGTTTTTAATAAACTAGTTAAACCCGGCAGAGACCAGAGCCTCCTGTGACCCGGAGGAGCTGTTAAACTACACGGCTTTGATTCAAACTCCTCAAACTAAACCTTCACTCAATCTGAAGTCTCCACTCTGCCTTCTCTCTGCAGTTTAACCTTTTATTTTGAAAGGTTGGAAGTCTTCAGTTTACATTTCTAAAGATAGTTTAAGATAAAAATGTCATTTCAGACCCGGGCAGCATGCAAGTTCGCTAAGAAGTTATTCTCTCTGGTTGATGCTGCAGCGCCTTCACCTTCATGGCAGACTTGACATTCACCGAGTTATCGACCGGACCGACCGGTTTATGTCCCTTCATAGACCTATTGTTCCTGGCGTGGCCGTG